CGCAGTATTTTTATTGGCCAATCGCAGTAACGGGCTGAAATAATTCATGCCTCCGGAATTGAGGTTTGAACTGACTTGGTTGGTCCGTTTAAAGATTTGAGTAGCGATGTGGGGAATGTGGTTATAAAATTATAACGGTATTAACAAAGAAAAACCCGATAATATCAATTAAATCAAGAGATTGGATAATTGACAGTTCATCCAGACAATTATAAACTAATGTCAGTTTAACAATATATAATAATTGATTCCTGGTGACGAACACACTCCAGGTGGTAATGAACCCTAACTGGCTAACTGATGAAACGAGTCCGTAGTCCGCTAAAAGTCCTTAGTCGACCTAGTCCTATAAGTTCTTCGTAGAATCTTCCAATTAAGGGCAAATAACAGTGTTCCTTCTCTCCTCCTTAGTCGGACATTCTGCTTTTATCGTCCAGTTGTTTTCAATAGTTATACCCCAGTTCGAACACTGAATAACCATGTTATATCTCATCACACAGGCCGGATCAAGTGCTACTGGCTTGTACTTTGCTATCGCATTTGCTTTTGTCATGCCATAGTCGAGGATAGCTTTAGTAATCCTGTCCTCAGTTTCAGCGTCACATCTTTGATCCCCCCGGTCAGCACACCCTCCCCCGATAGTGAGTCCAGAACACATGTCAAACATGCAGTTAGCAAACATAGCGTCCCTGTCCAGTCTCGCTGTGTATATGCAGTCAGAGAAGACATCCATGCCCAAAATTAGGTTACATCTAGCTTCGTGCGCTAGTTTCTCCTCGTATGGGATAAAGTCACAAGGTCTAGTTCTTTGAACAGGCAGGGCTCCGTCTTCAGGTTCCAGATCACAGTTTTGACCTACAGCCCACCTGTTACCAAAGGCAGAGCTACCAAGGTATCCTGCAAAATCATTATCAGGATTGCAGTCAGCATTTCCACACATTCCCTGGACCCCAGATTTGTAGTCATCGAGAAGACAGATTTCACTGGTGGTGATTCCATCCCACATTATCCTCACTCCAGTGTCCCCTAGGTAGATGAAGTACTTCATTCCTGTATTCTCTATTCGCATTTGTCCTATGTACTTGGTGCTTCCTAGAGGCACAGAGAACTCTTGACCGTTATAATTAATCCTGTACATCCTGAGGAACTGAACCTTCTCATTCTGGTAGAAGACAGTGATGCTGACAATACAGGACAACTGCTTGGTCTTGTCTCCACACGCTTTGTAGGTCCCATAAACCATCCACTGTCCCCCCAAGTCCTCTGCTATGATGTAGTCGCACGATCCTATGTAGTCATATTTCTTGCCGTCAAAAGTTTCTATGTGGGGGTCTCCGTGAACTCTACAGCACTTTTTCATTGGGTCCCCACCGTTACCCCTACCATCACCACCACCATCTCCACCATTTGTCTCTCCATCGCCTCCATCATCTCCATCATCTTTACCTTCAACCTGAACATTGAAGGTGTGAGAAACTTCAAACCTGCCATTGCAGCTCGTAGCTTTCACCTCCCACTCCCCAGTAAGGGAAGTGAGCAGGTCTGTTATCAACTCTGGTCCCTCCCCCAACAGTTCCTCTCCTCGGTACCACAGGTACTGTACACTCTGCCCATCTGCAGCTGACACAGCAGCTGTGAAAGTGAACCATGACCCTTCAGTATAGCTCCCATCTTCAGGATTCTCAGTGAAATATATTGATTTAGGACGGAAGGAGCAATGACCCTGAGATGCGACGTATAGCCCTTTTTGTGCCTTCTGACACGCCATCTTCAGCATGAAACACTCGTTGATGTAAGTGTTGCAGTCGCTACCACAAACAGGTTTGTATTCTGCAGCGCACTCACTAGGACACTCTCCCTCAGTTTCACATGTGTAACTACCCGAATATTTGTCTGGGTTACAAACTTCCGGAGCAACACAGTTGGATGTTTCGCACACATCAGTTACAGTTAGGTAAGCCCGTGCTAGAGCATAGGACCCACCTTCTTGCACTGCAAAACACGTGACCCAGCCCTGGTCTTCATGTCTCACATCATCAATCACTTCAACCATGAAGTTTGCATATCTTCGTTGCCCGTTGCCCGTCCTCCATTGCCAATTCTGCTCTGAAACATATCCACCTTGGCAGCGTTCTGTGCGGTACAAGTAAACTCAGCGGTCTCCCCAGATTTTATGAACCGATCTTTCGGGGCTTGAGTTATCATGATAGGCTTCTGCACTGCTGATACGGACGACAAAAGAAACCCTTTGGTAGATCCTGGTACCCCAGCAGTATCCAACCCTCCAACAACGATTCTGCAGAGAAAATGCAGCTCATCTTTACTGGTAAAGTCTAATTCTTTCCAGCACGTGAAGACGTGATCGCACGCGTAGAACATGTCACCCTTAGGACAGGTTTGAGCGAGGATCACACTCAGGTAAGCACTCAGAATCAGAATCAACCTTTGATTTGATTGGGAACTGGGTTTTACTACCCCAGTTAATGTTTACTAAAAATAGATATTGAACAGCAATTTAAAATTGTAAATATACATATAAAAGTATGTATATAAAGGCTGCACCAGCTGACTAAGAGTAATGAAACAGCGATCTCTGAACAAGATTCGCCTAAAACCAGATTAATCCCTTGAAAACTATACAGTTTTGTATAAGTGAAATAAAATGGTTAGATCCTTCGACAAAAACTAAGCACACAGAAGACAAATACTCATAGAGCTAAACTTTTTGATTTGCTCACAACACGAAAAATATTTAGAAACTCATTTTTGCCTCTCAAGGCTACAAATCTTCCCTTCACGAATGAAGAGTTTTTTGTCCTTCTCAATACCAGCTCTTCTTTTTAGCTCTAGGACAAGTTCTTTACGCTGAGCTCTCTCTTCTGCTGTACGATCTGGAGCTAGGAACACCCTCTTAAATCTCTCTGTTTCACACAGTTTACTCGACTTCTTCAGTATTTGTTGCACAATCGAAGAACTGGAAAAGGAAACTTTAACCGGTCTTGCAGCTGACGGTGATTTCTTGCCGATTCTACAAGCCTCAACTCGGGGTTTCTCTCCCAATGATTCCAATACTTCAGCGACTTTTGTATTGATCTCCTCATTGACCTCCTCGCATAGCCCAAAGACCATTATGTTCCTACCCAACTCCTCCTCCAAAGCAATTTGCTTGGCAACTGATTTAATGGATTCTGTAGAAATCGCAGCTGAGTTCTCGATACTACCGGATTTCACCACATCGCTAAAACTTTGTTTAACTGAACTGACTTCTTTCTGAACACCCTCAAAAAACTCAGTCTTGAGATGTTCGTTAAACTCTATCGCCTTAGAAAGTCCTTCTTTTGCAGATAATAGTTGCTCCTGTAGTTTTATAACTTGGTCCTGCAGCTGTATCATACCGGACTGATACTGACTAACGTGTACCCTCTGATTTATGATCATGTTATGCTGTCTCTCAATGAGCTGCATGGCTTGCAAAAACTTTGCCGCTAAATCCCCCTTGTTACCAATTTTGTTCACGCTCTCATGATTTAGTTCTTGGACACAATCGACTTTACACTGTTTCACGGTATCAAGTAGGAACTTTTGTCCATCGGTCTCTACTAAGTCAAATTTGAAACGTTCTGCTACTGTCGGCATATCGTTGATCAGTTATACACAGTGTATAGTATCCGTAAAACAAGCTGTAGCTGCGAGTATGAGATAGTTGTTGAGATGATAAGCGCTGCTGATAACAGAGGCACAAATTAGCAACGAAATAAAAGCGTGTATAACTGCACCTCATAGTCACAAGTTTACTAATGTCCATGTATTGTTAGAAAAGTGTTTAAATACTACAATTTGTTGCATGGTAATGGTGTGGGGCCGCGACGGGCCCGTTTAATTTTATGTAATCGGCACTTTAAGAAAACAGCCGATAGTCGGCCAGTCGTGTCAGCATTTTGTTTTCCAAAATTTCTTACCTGAGCTGTTCGAGCGATGTGTTATATTGAGAGTACCTAGCAATATCATGGTCCATTTGCATTGGTACAAGTTGGTAATGGTGCAGCAATGAACAATGAGTTAGCTTTTGTAATGCGTAATGTTTAGCAGACTTTAGCTCTATATTTAGATAGTATTGACTGTTTATATCAAAATTTGGAAATGGCTTTTATTTTCAAACAAACTGTAGGTAGTCGTATTCTGAGTCACTTATTATTGGAAGTGTTCGTGTCATTTAAAAGAATTGAAACTCCAGGTTGAAATAATAGATTTTATTAAATCTAAAAACTTTTGCTTCAATTATTGTTCATGAAGCTATTCTAATTGAGAAAAGTGATAATACATGTTTAACACATCTTATTTAAAATTAATAATCAATATATTTTGAACCAATAATTGATAACGAATTTTACTATTAAATTAAAATGTGTTGTTGCTTATTTTGAGTTTGTCCTGGATGATCAATATCATTTTTGGTAACATATTTTATTTTAATCAAATCGCAATGATTCTATGTATTATAAATAATTTGCTTTCTAATTTTGTTACTGGGCCGCGCTCAGCCTGTCATTCCGCCAAATCTTTATTTATTATGTTAATGAACATAATAGCCTGGGGTCCTCAGGTAATAATTTTGTAGATCTTTAAAATGTTTGATACGTAGGATTCTTAATTAAACTGATATACTCTCTTTTTAAAATGTATCAGATTCTGAGAACTGGCTTTTCAGAATTTGGTCATACTCATTGTAACCGATCACGGCTGAATTGTTGAATCAAAGTTCAAAATGCAAACATCCTAGTCTTTGCATTATCTCTTTTAGCACCTAATTTGCTTGATCTGATCTTCATAATCATTTACATCGTTATCTTCAACTTTATTTTCTTCTTCTGATCATTTTATTGAACAATCACTGTATTCCTATTTTAGAACACCAGTCCTTCAATCTTCTGTAGTTTAAGGGGCACCCCATCTTAAACAGTAAATTAGCTCCATGATTTTCAAAATTATTATCACACCCTTTACGGCGTAGGATTACTACTCGAACTGCAATTTTTCAACAAATCAGCACTGCTCTGAGGACGTTTGGTATTGTTGTTGGGTTCAGGACTGCCAGCTCGAGTGGGACTCCCCGCTGAAGGGTTGTAGGATTGAGACCTGGAATACTGCCGTGGGCACTTCTTCCCGAAATTGGGAGCACACGACGCAAACTTCTTGCTGGACCCCCCGGCGCTATTATCCAAGACCGCGGAGCAGCTATACCGTGCAGTTACTGACATACTCTCACGCCGCGTTCTAGCCTGTTTCTCCTTGACAAACCCACAGGAAACACGGTGCATGACCTCGTAGAAGTGGAACTTGGTGAAGCTTGTCAGCTCAGTGCTCCTCATGATCAGGATAGCTGGGTTGAGGGCGGCGTTAAAGTACACTACAGTGTAGTGAGAGATGAAGAAGAGGATCAGGTAGACGTCCTTGTTGATGTTCTCTTCACCGTGTATTGTAGTGTACAGGAACATAACACCTCCAAACACTGTGAGATGTGTAATTAGTTGACAGTGACTCATCAAACACTGTGAGATGTGTAATTAGTTGACAATGACTTATTAAAATATTTCTAAATTATTCACCGAAACATTTAGATAATTATTAATTAACTTTCTCAATGGCTTGTCAATTGATTACGTATCAGGGGTTGAATAATCAATAAATTATGTGAGAAATGAGAAACCTGCAAAGGTAACATTACAGACGAGAAACACCACGCTGAGAATAATGATGGTTCTGGTGGTCCTTGACATGGCCGCTTCTCTCAGTGCTCTCTGTTCTTCAACCGTCTTACCGTGCAGCATCCCCCGTGATCTCTGAACAAAATGTATCATTAAAACTTAAAACTACCATAACTATATGTTACAAGTACCAAGAACGCAGTGATGTTGGGTAGTTTAACGTTATTTAACATATTCGTTACCGAACACTTTTGCTCTTTCGTAGGCCATGGTATTAACAAGACTCTTCAATTAATGTTAAATCAAGTCTTTGCAATGAATGGTTATAGTGTAATAATTTTGTTGGTACACTGCAGATATATGAAAATGTCTGTCTGCAACTGTTATTGAATCTGATATTACAAGACATTAGCTGCAGACTATTTTAAAGTACACATCTGATATTACAGGACACTGGCTGGACAATTTAAAAGTACACTTCTCATGATGGCACGTTAAATTTAGTTAGCCCAAATCACTAGCACTCATGTCAAGCTGCATAGAAATGAGAACTGTGGGGTGGGTGGTACGGAAAGGTGTGGCCTGTGTGTTTGTTGGTATCCCACACCCAATAAAAAGCACTGATTAATATTTTCTGGGTTCTCCGATAGACCTGAACATCAAACCAGCGTCCGTAGTTTAAATCGAGAGTTGTATTCCATATTTGGTTCAGGTCTAAATTGGTTTAAGATTAATGGTTGCGACAAAGGCCTCGCAGATTTTGGTAGATTCATTGGATGATGACAGAGTAAGGGCTGAAATATGAAACACATATAAGGCCAAAAAACTAAGGGCTGATAAGGCATATCTGATAAATAACCAGAAAATATAAATGTTATTTAACTCACCCTAAGACAATACATGGTTACGCCCAGGGCCATCATGACCACCACCGTTGGAACCACGTACGGTATACCGTACACTAGATCCGCTGGAGCCATGCCCACGATACACTGGTTTACTGTTGAACACTCTATAGCCTTCCGGTTATCTGCACGGGGAGAAGTAATGTTAATCATTAATATAATAAGTAATATATTTTATAAAGTAATATAAAGAGTTATCATCATTCCCGGTTATCCGCACGGGGAGAAGTAATGTTAATCATTAATATAATAAGTAATATAAAGTGATATAACATAATATAAAGAGTTATCATCATTCCCGGTTATCTGCACGGGGAGAAGTGATGTTAATTATTAATATAATAAGTAATATAAAGTAATATAACATAATATAAAGAGTTATCATCATTCCCGGTTATCTGCACGGGGAGAAGTGATGTTAATTATTAATATAATAAGTAATATATTTTATAAAGTAATATAAAATAATATAAAGAGTTATCATTGTTTCCAGTTATCCGCACGGGGAGAAGTGATGTTAATTATTAATATAATAAGTAATATATTTTATAAAGTAATATAAAGTAATATAACATAATATAAAGAGTTATCATCATTCCCGGTTATCCGCACGTGGAGACCGAGAAGTAATGTTGATTATTAAAGAGTTGTTAATAAGAGCTATTATTGGTTTTAACACATCATATATGTCAGAAGTTGTTTTTTCTAAGTTTTATGGGCTCAGGGAACTTCGGAATATCAGCTGAAGACAAAAATGAGCTCATACTAAGAAATTACCGCGGACAGAACACTCCTTTTAAAAAGCTTATTAAATAAATGTAATAAAGCACGTACTCAAATTTAGAAAGAGATAACATAGAGAGTAATACAATCGGAAAGAATATTGATTCATAGAAGAGTTTCAATTTAATAAAATCATGTCATTAAACTTAAATAATCAATAAATTAATTGTATGTGCTTACTAAGAAAGAAGAGCTCTATCCCTACGTAGATCATAAAAACAATCCAGAAGCTGGAGTAGAGAATAATCGATATTAAAACTCGCTTGTATTTAATCCTGCATTGGGATAGTGATATAATCTGTTAGCATTATACTATTTTATAACTTTATACGTATTTTATAAGTACAAAAAAGAGGAAGTGGTGGCGTGCCACAACCACTGTAAGTGTAATTGATTACATTTGACGAAACTTTCAGGAAATCTAAGTTTGATCCATATCTATAATCTCTGAAATTTCTGTGCAATTCTAAGAAGGATTACGTGATCAGTTATGAAAGAGTTGCGTGTGGGCAGCACCACTCATGTAATTGTCAATGACATGAATACCTGTAAAAAGTAAAAAACAGGTAAATACCTGTAAAAAGGTTTAAAATACCTGTAAAAGGTTTAAAAAACAGGTAAAATACCTGTAAAAGGTAAAATACCTGTAAAATACCTGTAAAATACCTGTAAAAAGGTTTCCAAACAGCAATAGCCCGTGAGACGGCCAGCACAGCGTTCAGGAAACAGGAAACCCTGGAAGTTACACTGAACAGAGTCACCAGGAGGTACAGGTAAACTCCAAACATGTCCTTGTCTATACGCGAAGTGTTCCTCTCCACTTTGTACTGGAAAAAAGAGAAGTAATGTTAATTATTAATATAATAAGTAATATAATATAATATAAAGTGTTCCTCTCCACTTTGTACTGGAAAAAAGAGTTTCATTAGTCAATTTTAAGTCGATCAGCTGGTTTTGTATACGAAATATTTGAGTCTGTCAATTATTGGTTTTTTAATCTTTATACAAAATAGACATTGAACAAAATTGAGATTGTGCAATTTACTTTTAGCATTTTAGCCATTAATCAGGATTATATAATGGACAGTGATGTTAGAAGAATATTATCACAAACTGGTAGCTTATTAAAAGACATATATTATTAAAAGCTCAATATATTTGAAGCTAGATTTATCGGTATTATATTACTAATAGTAATAGTATATTTGAAGCTGAAATATTTGAATCTGAAATATTCGAAGGTGGATATATTTAAAGCTGTTTATATCGGTTCCCCCTCTTAATCTACAATTACTCTCCTGTCATGATATAACGAATATTTGCTCTGCTCTTTTATGCGAGTGGTCACTAATAGTAATAGTATACATTGTAAAAGTCACGTGTTCCACGTTGAGTACACAGCAATTCTATAATCTGACTCGTGTCAGCATGAATGGTACCCATCTGGTATCAGTAATTAAAATATTCCATCCATATTAACATTAATTACCGTCCATACAATACAATTAATTAGCATCCATGTTCTATTAATTATACATGCTTAAACCAGAGTTGCACAGGATATATGACTTCATCGCACATTGTGAACATTTCTAATTCAACGCATACCAAGCCCACATTTCCATAACGAGGTGATAAAAGTACATATAAAGCTACTTGAAATCCTTCAGGCAAGTCGATAACTTAATAACTACCCTTCTTCTTTTTAAATTATGGTTTAGAGGTTGGGTTAGGTTCATATCAGGTTACTAAAAACTCAATAAAAACTCAATAAAAACTCAATAAAAACTCAATAAAAACTCAATAAAAACTCAATAAAAATTCAATAAAAACTCAATAAAAACTCAATAAAAACTCAATAAAAACTCAATAAAAACTCAATAAAAACTCAATAAATACTCAATAAAAACTCAATAAAAACTCAATAAAAACTCAATAAAAACTCAATAAAACTCAATAAAAACTCAATAAAAACTCAATAAAAACTCAATAAAAACTCAATAAAAACTCAATAAAAACTCAATAAAAACTCAATAAAAACTCAATGAAAACTCAATGAAAACTCAATAAAAACTCAATAATAATAACCCCAAACAAACCTCTACAAGAAGGAAGGACACCACTTGAAGAAGCGCGGTGAGTGATCCGATGCTGTCGACTATTGCAATACTTGAGTACAGCATAGACACTAACTTAGTTCTGGACGTTGAGTAGTATTTGAACACAAAATAGTTGCCCAGCATCGCCGCCGCAGCTATCAAAATGTTTGATATTATCTGGAACCAATACATCTGAAGCTAGATTGTATGTGCTGTTAGCTGTTTATAATGTTATATTATCACTTGATCATAAGGTTCATGTGTAATTTAACAACTGTTTAAAAAATTCGACTATACACTAGTTAATCAAATGTTTATAGGAAGAATATAAAAGTGTAGGTCATCAAAATGAATTTCAGCATGAATTTACAAACATAAATTGAAATTTGCAAAGTAAAGTTTGCAAGAGTTTCGATAAAGACGTGTAATTTATAAACGTTTGATGAAATAAAGTTGCCGTGTATTGTCTGTTTAGAGGAATAAAATGCAGTTTATTGGCTGTTTAAAGCAAAATTAATTTTAAATTGTTCTAAATACTATAGAATTAAGCTTGAATTTTGGGGTTTTAGCAGGAAAAGCCAATGAAAAAGAGGAATTTCTTCAATTGTAGCACATTTTAACTCGTTGCCGACAAACTTATTCTTAATTAGACAATGACCTCGTAGACAATGAACTCTTACAAATTAGAGGTTAACACTTAACACCTCAAATCCTCCACCTGAAAACTTAATAAACGCACTACTTCTGAGTGACTGGAGCTGAAGAGCGTCCTTATACTTATGAGTATTGCTGAAAGCACAGTGTAAGGCCTACACGGACCGCCTCTAACTAGCCAATCCCTGTTTACATGCCGTGTAGCAGGGGACTAGAAAGAGCTAAACTAGTAAGCGGGGCATAGCCAATACACTATACTCCCATCATTGAGTATATTACCAACCAAAAGGAAAATTTCCTTGTGTTTGGAATCTACCAAGACGAAAGTTGTACAATCCAGCGAAATTCCGAAGAATCGGAATATACTAGTTATAGAGACGGTGTTAAACTGTGAAACTGCAGACTGAAGAATGAGAAACATCTAACATCACAAGATTCCTCATCGCTGTAAGACGGGAATAAATATTTAAAAGCATGTCCGAGTCTTGAAAATAGGTGGAACAATATCTAGATGTCACAAGAACTGATTAACAGTAGGTGATTATGTTGATGTAGAAAGGGGAACGTCACCCTGCTAACGTATCCGGCGTACATTTTTTATTGAACTTAACTTTCAGCGAAATCAACTTATCTGTGGTGATAACTAAGGTATAATTTCAGTGGCTAAGAAAGTGATTTTTCAAGTATAAGAGGCAATTTATCTAACTTAATTTACCCATAATTACTTTCAAATTAGTCGTCGAATCTTTAATACGATCACATAAATTTGAACAAGGAACTGCAGCAAATAACTAAATAACGGACTAAGTTAAGTAACTATTAATAAGTCTGCTGATTGAGAATATGTGTACTTTAGTCTAACAAATTTAATACAAAGTTCGTGTCAACAACTCGTGCCTTAAAGTTACAGCTGGGGAGCACATATTTCTGCATTCTTATTTGCTTCCACGGTCTACCATAGCTCACAAAGGATTCTAAAAGTTACCAAATACTATGATAACGCGATTGTTAATTATTTCCCCGTTAAACTTAAAGTTGCTGAACGCTATGAAACTTGGAGCAAATCACAGTTCACACCGGCAGTAAATCTGATACCTGTCCATTATAATTGTAAGCTATATACACAGTAAAGAGGCGAGTTTTTGTGGTTCTACAACTTAAGATGTAGCATTGGTGGTTCATATTAACATTACGGGCCCAACTTTCACCTTCCCACAAAAAATTTTCCTCAAATAAATTGTTATATAGTAGTGTTGAAAATATTATTCAGTAAACATACTTACTGGAGTCTACAATTGTACGGATCCTAAGAAGCCGACCCCCACACAACGCCTGCCCGACAATTTCAAAGGATTCAACAAAATCTAACATGCCGATAAATTCAGCTCAAAGCGAAACGTTCAGGAATTATAGGAAAGACTAGATCTGTGGGCTGAATTGCATCAGTACCCACTAGAACTCACATGAAATTACGTTAATAGCTACACCAACAATATAAACAGTAAGAACTGTTCATAACGCACACTTCACACCTTATAAACACTTCACGCCTTATAAACATTTCACTATAACAAAGACAGAGGCCTGCAACAGCTGCAACGCAAAAACTATAGTCGAGCGGGAATGTCGGCATACAAGACCTGCCAACTGTTTATATAGTAATTAGTGATAACATATAGTTTATACTATATGTTACTATATAACTTTATAGCAGTTAGTATAAATACCAAGCTGGGTGGAGCAGTGTATTTCATTTGTAGCCACGTTATATCCAGCTGCTCTGTTACTGGGTCACCCTAATTAAAGGTATTGTACTTTATATCCAGATCTTATTAAAGATTGTGAGAAATGACGATGATGTTACAAATGTGCACCACTAAGATTCAAGAAGCAAAAGTGCAACCCTTTGTCCAACATCAAATCAGTGCTAACTACTCAGTTGAAAGTTTTCAATAATAAAGCAGTGCAAATGTGATAACTCACAACTCAAGTTTTTTACTGCTGGCGGGAAAACGTGAGCTTCTATACTCTATAGTGCACTTGTTTATAATTGGCGGTTTGCATGGAGATTCTCAGTCAGTTCATTCAGTAAAAAAGACAGTTGCTATTAGTATTACTATTAGATAGTGCCAATGATTAGAAAGCTATGGAATAGTCACTGCAAGATGTTTGTTTCGTGTTAGCCGACGATCAGCAGAGAGATAACGCTAAAGTCAGGGCGCCGATAAGATTACACCAACATGATGAGAACCATAGTGGTGAGACTGAATCTACCGACGAGTAGGGTATTGCATGCAAAGAGAACCGCGCAGAGAGAGAGAGAGAGAGAGAGAGAGCCATGAGTGACTGCTCTCTAAAGATATTCAGCCAACTTCCTTAACGCAATCGCAAACATTTTTCGTCACAGCCCACAAGGGCATGAATTTAGTTAGAGGCTAACACTACCTCGGTATTATATATTTTCTTGTTTTCATGTAATTTGGTTCGTGTGGAACCTCCTTTGCGGGCTGGTACCAATATCTATTATCACTGGTGGTTGTAATGAGGTAGACAGTATAGACTGAGATGGATTTAATGAGCGGTTTTTGGAATGTTTTATGGATTTTTATCTTAATTTTTGAATGTTCCCGCCAGTACCACTCACGATGTAATTAAAAGTACATTTTATTCAATCTAGTTAAGTGTCAGATCAACGTTTAAGTGTGAAAACTTTGTTAATCATTTGCATGTATATCATAAACAAAGCTTATCATCAAACAAATCAACGTATTCAACCCCGACCTAATGCACAAGAATTGATTACAGTGGCGACAAAGCGAGCTCCCAAAAATAGTAAAATGTATCAAAATTCTTCTTTTCGTTCTTTCAACACTTAGCTTGTTCGCGTGTTTTCATCCCGTACGGGACCTCTCAGAAAGACGCACGTTCCAGGAGAATCAGTGCGCTGAAATTAAAGAGACAAGAACAAAACAAGCCTCAGGCATCGACTAAATATTCGTATCCACCAGTGAACCTGATTCTTAGAGACCTCCTTGCCAGGACCAGGATTCAAAACAGCAACTACAGCTCAGGAGACATTAGAGGCACTTTTTCCGGTGCTACTTTTGTGGCGAAATTGCCGGAAGTGACCAGTGCAGTTCACCTAAAGTCGGACATAACGTGCTTCCGGTTAAATTAAGTCTGTCATCACTACATCACTGTTTCGAAAGAAGCACAATTGTATGGTGATCACGAAAGAGAAGGTGATGAACAAGTGTGCTTAGCTTCACCTCCTTACTTAAAATAAAAAAGCCTAACACTGCACCTTCTGCAGAAAATTTAGACCTTCGAATGCTTTTTAAAATTGCTCTATTTTAATACAAAAGGAAAACACTAATATAAACCGTGATAGAATTCAGTGGGTAGCAGTTGCCAGTACACTCATGTCAACATTAATACCACGTATAGCAATTCAAAGCACCCTCATTCCAGCGTCACAGTCCTGTATAAATTAGTGACAATTGCGAAGTTCTGGAAAACAATGTACGTCAATGTACGCAGGGAGGCGAATGACGACTCAGATTTTCCAGCGCCAAAACAGCCTACTACTTTATTAATTATCCTGACTTTTAGTTTTACGCGTACGAGACTAGCTGTAGTACTAGTATATAGTGCTGTGTGGGAAATTGAAATAGTCTTCCTGCAAATAAAAACCGCTGGCTGTGGCAACATTCCCCAGTATAATTGCTTGTCAATACCCAACTGTTAAATACCCCCGAGTTAACGAGCACAATCTAAACAATTTAAACGTGATCCACGGCTGCAGACCCATCGGAACGTGCAACCCACTAAAAAAGACGCTACTTATTGAAAGACAGGATCATCAGCAGGTCTGACTGGTATGTGTGTCGCTAAATGTGAGTGACGTTAACAGCGCTCGGAACCGGTCGATCAGTACGGTCCGTGCGTGGCAGACAGTGAGAGGGAACATCGGGACTAGGGGTGAAGTGGAGTGAGAGAGGAGAGGAGAGCGGGGTTATGGCACACGTACGTGTGGCTAAGAGTAGGGTTATGGTGCACGTGTATGTGGGGACAAGTGCACGTGCGAGTGCAGCTGTGATATGATGGGTTCTGAGCAGCTGTGTCGACTGACAGGGATGTTAATCAAAATCGTAAATTATCAGGGATTTGGGTAAATATTTAAATACTCGACTCGCCGTTGGTTCAGAAATTATAGCCATCGCCGAAGTACAATTGATGATCGTGGGTGTTTTAATGTAGTTGCCTATCCTAGTAGGATTCCTAAGCAGCTAATAAATCATACAGCTAGCTACTATAACGGTCTCACGCAGGCCGTTAAACTTAAAACAGTGCATGACAACAAGCAAGTGTGTCTACAAGCTACTGTTCACCTGAACCTCTTTTATACCTTTACCCCTCAAAACTAAAACTACCTTCCGACATTTCACCACCTCACTTTTCACTTATCACCAAATATTTCGACTGTTATTATAACCCAGAACATACTTTTTATTATGA